GCCATTTAAAGTGGTGCGCGTTGGTTTCTGGTGTGATGGTGTTTTCATGATCTTGGTGCAGAGAAGGGTAGCACAGGCCCTTGTTAAGTGAGGTCTCAACCTGTTTCTTCTCACTTGGCTTCATGTCATAATAAATCAAAGAAGAAAAAAGCTCAGGTTTCGTAGACAGGGTTGTGGGCAAATTGAGTCTAAGTGCTTCAGAGTCATGAAACCGGACTGCGTGGTGTTAAAAAAAAAATGCATGGCTAACACTTCCGCCAGTGGCTAAAGCATGATGCAAACTCGAAATGTTTTCATTAGTTGTCACCAAGAAATCGACAGTGTGTCTCTTTGCAGGATGATGGTGGAAGAGTGTGAGTGCAAAAGCAATGCAAGAGAAAGCTCCTGAGGACAGATTTGTCCTTTAATGTTTTGGGGGGAAAGAGGTGTCTTATGTTTTAGTACTTCTAGATACCCTGGAAAATGATTTATTTTAAACTCAGTGTTGTAGTTCCGAGGTACAGGTAGTTCTGTGGGGCCGTGGGGCCGAATCATGCTGGGTTTAGCAGGGAGGTTCACAAGCCCCGCTGTGTCTGGGCGCAGAGACAAGTCTCCCTCAGCGCTGCCGGGCGCCTCTCAGGAGTTACTGTACAGTTACTGCTTACAGATTTCTTAGTCAGAATAAGAGAAAGAAGGCACCTTGTGGAATTGCTAGGGATGTAATGGTTTCTGCTGGGAAAACATAAAGTAATGCTATGAGAGGTGTGAACATACTGTTTAAAATGACAGGAAGGGATGGGTTTTTGCATGGGGCTTAACAAAACAACAGACTTCCACAGCTTTTCAGCTATGGCTCTAGAAAGCAAAATGTTAAAAATGGCATTGGGGTTGAATTTAACATTCTCCTTTATGTGCAAGGTTTTAACATTTTGGACTGTTCCTACTGTGACGTTCCAGCTTACTCCGCATTTTTTTCTAATTTGACAGAAGTATTGCTCTAAGTCTATGATTTCGGTGGTACTGGTTGTCGAAGCAAGTTTTTTCCAGTTCATAACACTTGGGTTTATCGCCTCTCTTACTGCTGCATGAAGTATATATAGCCTTGTCCCGTGACATTGTTGTAGTGATGACAGATGGACCCCGTATCTGTTTTGCTAATTTTTACCCTCAGATTTCACATTCTAGTTTATTTCTGGGATGTTTTGTCCTACATGTCAGAAGCAATTTTACAGTTTTACTCAATTGTGTTATTTAACTCTATTACTATAAAATGTGAAAAGTTAAAATTAGCCTGAGCAGATACACCACTGTTAGATTTTCTTGCACATAGAATTTTTTTCTCAGAACTGAAAACTTAAAAATGGATTCCAGACAATATTATAACAGACAAAATTTCTCTGGTTTAAAGATTTTTTTATGTTCAAGAGTTTTTAAGTATTGGTGTGCCTAACATGAAGCATGGTCATAGTTAATAAATGTCTTTCAAATCCATTTTAAATAGGAAGACTAAATTTTACACTCATTGATTTTGGACTTTTGGTGTATTACTGACACTTTCAAACATCTTCTAATGACTTATGTAACTTTTAAATTTCTCAAGTGTCCATTCAGTTTAGCAGCCCTTTTTCTAAATGGGATTATACCAGTCCCCCAGAGCTAAAACGATTAACATTCCTAAGACTTTAACTTTTTATGTGACACAGCACTGCGTCTCAGCAGAATCTGGCCACGTTTCTTTTAAAAGTAGGCTTCCAAGGTAGGGCACATCCACTCTGAATTCTAATTCTAATCAAACTATCACAGTAGTTCAGCTCACTTCTCTAAGGCAGAGGCAGAATTCAGTAACCTTGTTTCTGCTATCAGCTCTCTGCCCTGTGGACTCCCTCCTGGTCTCGTTTCATTTTGTCTGAATGGACAAATGAGGACGCGTGTTATCTTTTGAAAGACAATCACTCAGCTTCTTCCAGTTCTTTTTCTTTCATTCACTTTTTTCTCTGTACTTAATTTTTTAGCTCCTTGATCAACAAATACTTTCTCATTTCTTCTCTCTGCAGCAAAATACATGCATTTAATAGTTACAAACTGACAAGTGTCATTTCCTTCATACATTAACCTATTTACAACAGGATAATGAAAGCAGTTAAATGACTTGATTCTATTACATTTCTGGAATTGTACTTATTTTTATAACATTTAAAATAAGAATGGTACCAAATTTTAACTGAAAAGTATCAATAATCTGAAAACATACTCACTTTGGAAATGGACGTGTGCGTATACGTGTGTGGCAAGTGTGTTTTTATCAAATTGATCTCGGAAAGAGAGGGCAGCATTATCTTTCAGCCTGTGACCTCAGTTTTGACCTCAATCCTGCAGTGTCCCCAGTGGGACCTTCCATTTCCATGGGACATAGTCTGCAAACTGCCAGTTAGGAGAGAATCCTCCTAATTAAAAATCATTAGAATTAAAACTTGCTGATACATTGTCTTCCTGTGTATAACTTTCTCACCTTTCTGTGTTTTTGTTAAATGGATAAGTTTAAGTAAACTGCAGGTGCCTTCTCCTTATTAATGTTGGACTTCAGACCACTTCCACCATCTGGACAGGGGGGTCCTCACCTAGAAATAAACATAAAGGTCCCAGAAGTACCTGTTTACGAAAATAGCTTTGCAGAGGAAAAGAGAGTAATCTTACATTCAGCTCATGTGAAAGTGTGATCTACATTTTACATAGTGTTTATTAACGGTTACATGAATTTATTTCAGTAAAGTCTTCTCCCTTCATCTGTCAGGCGTTTTTCACTTCACAGGACCCGCCTGGCACTGTTGTCACGTTGTTGATGGCAGAAGGCCTCTGTAGAATGCTCTTGTCAGACAGTGTTACGGAAAACAGGCTCTGAAAATACTGGCTAATGGTAGCCCCAAATTTTGTCTTTGCACCTAACATTTACAAAGGCCTCGGCTCTTGTATCGCTGTTATCACCACAGTGTCTATTATGGCTGGTGTACTAGTTTAGACCCTGTTTAGTGAGCGGGTGACTTTTATAAGAAAGATTTTTAAAAGAACACTCTAGGTGGGGACGTTTGTAGTTTGAAATGTCCCCACACATTTCATAATTAAATATGTAACTAATTAAGTCAAGTTTCAAAAAGTTGGCCCTAATTTCTAGAATGGAAACAAAGTTACAGTTAAAGAATTACGTATTGTTTTCCTTATTTCTAACTCTAGGAAGTTGTGAATCAGAAACCAACTTTAGAAACTGGCGCTGGCCTCTCCTTTTCTTTTCTTCAAGCAGATTTTCTGATATAAATATTTTAGTCATATACAGAGAGCAAAATACATTTGCTTAACTTGTTTACCAGTAGAATTTTCACTTGACATTATAACAGAACCCTTTTCTTCATTTTATGCATCTACGATTCTGTGCTAAAAACATGAGAAATAACAGACCTTAAAATTTTAGTTTTCTCAAAGTGCAGGAATGGAAAGCTCATTTTAAGGGAAAAGCCATTAACGTTAAAAAAAA